TTTTGGGGATTTATAATGCATTGAGCTATTGATTTTCCTTCTTTCTCACCATGTTTTCTTGGTGTTGCTTTCTTCTTTGTCTTCTCTCTTCATTTTGCCAACTTGAAACTGGGGGCTGTGTGCAGAAAATAAACTGACTTACAGAGCTCAGTCACAGCTCCGTCACAGCTCAGAATTCCAAGGAAGTGCAACACATAAAGGTGCAAAGAACGCACTGCGGTTTCTGCCGCCCCTGAGTTCAGAGATGGCCAGAGGGAAAACGCCCTTGGTGCGTTTCTCAGCCTCCTGACACTGTAGCAAACATCCGAGATAAATCCGTGTATAAAGAGAAAGACTTATTTCGAGTCACAGTTTTGGACATCCGTGACAGACTGGCCCTGTTACTTTGGGCCAGCCCGAGAGGGCGTGTTATGATGAGGGCCCTGGGGTGGCAGTGCTGCCCACCTCCTGCTGGGAGACAAGAAAGGTAAGGACAGGAGGCAGGAAGGAGAAGAGAGGAAGGGGTGAGCAGGTCTCGGGCATGCGCCCAGGGACCTAACATCAGCCACATCGGTCGGATTTCTTCACCTCCCAACAGCACGATGCTGAGGACCTCGCCTCTGACATGGGAGCCTTTGAGGACCCTGAGGGTGTGAGCCACGGCACTCAGTAGGGCAAATCTTCAGTAGAGATTGAGTGCCCCTAAGACAAAAGACTTTTAGTTCCCTCCGTGACATAGAAAGTCACCTTTCGTAGGTACTTTATCTTATCAGCGTGTAAAAAACCCAAGACAGTCCTTCAAAGTCAGAAGTGCCGGCTACCTACCCTTTATCCGGCATTCTCAAACGCAAGCCAAAACGATTTCGCAATTGCATGCTTTTGCCACATGAGGGCGCTCCCTAGAAATAGACGGGTCAAACTTGAGCACAAACAAAGCAAAACAACCACAGAATTCCAACAGTATTGTCATTTCGACTTAGTATGATTATAGACCTTCCTGGTTTAAATATAACGTAGCCAGAACTCCATGGGATCTGGAATTGAGGTATTCCTAGGGCTCTATGACTTGTTTTAAGCTACCTTTCTTTGTTTGGGGCTGGGATATATACATATATATGTATATGTATTAAATATAATAAAATATGAATATGTGCTCATGCGTAGACATATTTCTTTCCAACTTCTAAAAATATAGTGCACCAAAATAAGGATTTTGGAGGTCCCTGAAGAGTGGTTTTGGTTTTGATACTATAAGAGTATCTTAGCTAACAAGGTTATCTGTCTCACTCTTGCTGAAAAAGCTTTCACACAGGAATGCTTTCCAGTGATCTTGTATTTATTTATGAGTTTAGACTTTAAAACCTGGTGTCTTTCAGCTGATTTCATGCTTTCCAACTGTAGGTGGAGACACTGAGACCCACAGAGTTAAAATGGTTTCCCTGAGGCTCTCAGCCTGAGTGCAACCTCTCATCTTGTCCCTTTGAGAGTCAGTAGTCCTTTTCTTCTTCAGGTGCAACAGACTTTCAGAAGAGAAACCTAACTGAGCCCTGAGTCTGAATACTTTTCTTGAATTGGCTCTTTTACTAAATGAAAAACATTAGTGGGTGGGAGGATAGTTTTTGGGTGCAAGGAGGGTGCTAGGGATTGAACCCAGGGCCCTGTGCATGCCAAGCACATGCTCTGCCACCGAGCTACAAACGCAGCCATGAAGATGTTGCTGAATTGCTGTTTGGGCTTCTGTAGAACTCACGCAAGAGAAAAATAGCCTGAGCTTAAGTGCGGGGCTACAACTCAAGATATATGCCGGTTGGCTTGTGAGTATCTGTGAGTGACCTGTTTCTCTCATTCTGTGGGAGGATCTGGCAAGATACCCAAGTAAGAAATCTGTTTGAGAAAATGGGCACTTTCCAACTTTGCTGTGGTAAACATGACCTTTGTGTCCAGCGTGGAGAAGACTATTCACAAACTTCCCTTAACTTTGACTCTGGCAGGGAGCAACAATAGTCTCACTGTGCTGTAAAAGGAAAAAAGGATCTCTAATGAGAAATTTGAAACTAAAGGTGCTTACTCGGCCTAAACTTTTCCAAGAACAAATAAATCAACCTATAGTTTCAAAGTCCTGTAGAGTTACAGCAGCTGTCTTAACCATGGTTACCTCAACGGAACTCTCATTGGTGTATGAGGAAAGGGGCTAAGAACCCTCATATCATTTTCTGCTTGGCCTTTGGTTCTCAGCCTATGGACTGAGGTCCAGGAATGGCAATTAAGCAGGGTAGCAGTGAATCCTTTTACAGAGTGGCCTACTGATTGTTTTATAGCCTGAACACTATGGGATGATAAGAAAGAGGCCTGGAGCTGGGTGCAATAGGGGTGCTTGAATGACTTAATAGGGCATTGACTGGATTTAGTTGCTAATTAAGACACATGTTCACTTTTGCTGCAGTTCCCCTGACTTGTAATCTTATAAGAGCCTGTGTTTCTTTGTATTGTGTTTCATTTCTTCCCTCCCTTCTTAGCTTATGATTTGGGTGGCTGAAATGGATGGTTGAGGACGGTTAAAATGGGCACCATGCTCTGTTGATGCCTTGAGTCATGCGCTTTTTAGGTTCTGGGTTTGGTTTTTCCGAGCAGAGCCTAGCTGGCAGTTGTCTTGCACCTTTTCCCACATGGCGGGTGGCTGGGAGGAAAAATATGGAGAAAAGGGAGGCAGGTAGGACCCCATAGAGGGCAGGCAGGGGGAAGGACTTTGGGAGGGACTCCCTGACAGAGAGGGGCCTCTTCCTTTTCCTGTGTCCAGATTGCATATGCCTGATCCCTTTCTTTTCCCCCAAGGAAAGAGGTTCCTCTGAGAGAATGAATACACTCTTTGCAGAGCTCCATTTTCATAAGAGGAAACGCTGAATTTCCTTAAACACAAGCCATATGTCTGTGCCTCACAATAAGTAATGTAGTTGTATCTCTGTCAGCTCACCTTGTAGAGATGGTTTTTTGGCTTGCGTAGTAGTGCCTTTGTGAAAAAGTGAAGCAATGCTTCGGAGAAGTGTGTGGTGGTATCCAAGAGCCAGGAGGCCAGCGGAAGGTGAGTGCTCCTGGCCTGGCCTCAGTTTCCTTTACTTCAGGGACTCCAGAAACAAAAGGTTTTTGTTTTTTTTTTTTTTCTTAACTGGACACATTGTTTTTAGTGTATACCAACTACATTTCATCAATTCACTAATCAGTGCTTTCGTTTTGTCTCAAGTTGTCTTTCAGATGTAAGGGGCAAAGGCTATGAACAAAATCTATTATCTACATTAAAAGCCTTCCCAAAGTGTGAAGCTGGGGGAGGGCAGGGCAAAGGGGAGACAGGCCGGTGATCACAGTGTGCTCTGTGCGAGGATGAACCTGTCAGACAGAAACCGAGCAATCCGGATAGCCAATGACGAAGTGAAAAATGTTCTTTGCAATGGTTTATAACAGGAGAAACTATCAATAGATAAATAAGTGGAGAAAAACAAAAATAGGAGCGCTAAATAAAGCCAGAGATAATGTTACAGTGTAAAAATGCATGTCAGAAAAGCATGGGCAGTAGTTCAGACCTAAGCTTAAATTGATGCTGAATCCTCAAAGTAAAGAAATAAATGATCAGTTGTTAAAAATCACAGAATTCCCGAGATTAAAAGGAAAAGAAAAAAGGGTGTGGACTGTGAGGGGAGCACAACCATTGTGAGTTCTGAAACTGACAGCACCTGTCTCTACCCTGTGACGCGGGGCATCTTTGTAATAAAGAGGAGGGTCACTTTGATTGCGTTTCTTACAACGCCTTTCCAGAAGGACGGTAATCTAACTCCAAAGCTCGGTGCTATAAAAGCCAAGGGCCTGAGAAATTTTGTTGCCACTTAGCATACAGAAAGCCACAGAAATAATCAGTCTTCCCTTACTGGGAAGAGAAGCCATGCAGGGTACAAAATCACGGCTAACGGTGAGCCTTTTAAGGAGCAGATACAGGAAAGCAACTAAGAGAACTGGATTCCCAAAGGTGAGCAGGGCAAACAGACTGTTTCGCTTCAGGCAAAGTATGGGGAGAAAGACCGCCACGAGAGCAGGAAAGAAGGAAAAACGGCCATTCCGATGAGTCCTCAGTAGTGGGGCGGCAGAGGATATCTACCAGGTTGACTAATCATCTTGGTCTGCCCAGCGGTAAGGGATCCCTTCTCTGGGACGCAGGGCTTTCATACTTACTCCAGGA